GGACTTATAGAATAGTCCGATCGGAGTCGATTGAAGATATTTGGATTTAACTTTTTTTGTACATCAAGTAGTGTGAAAATGTAGATTCTCTCGCTTATTTTGATCAAAAGTAAGTAACGGTAATAACTTCAGTGAATGAGAAGCAAGTGAATACGGTTGAATAAGGTGATAATATTGAAGGAAGTGATGATTAGGATTTGGTAGTATGGATTTGGTGGAAAGGAAAGTCGTGATTTAGAGAGAGATAACGATGGAGATGGCAACGTAGAGAATTAGCTATTTTACAATAAGCTCTCAACTTCATTTATTTCTCACATATAATTATTCATGACGTTACTCCGGAGTATGCTATGCAAGCACCAGAAGGAATACCTCATTCCAACCATATGAATCCACCTCGACCGGCGGAAGAATCTCGTCTTTCCAAAGGTCGATCTCGTAAAGGTCCAAAATCCCAATCCAAACGCCAACCGAAGCAACCCACGGGACCTACTACAAAGTCGGCTACCAAGCAGGCTACCCACCACAGGTATTCTCTTCGCAGTGATCGTTGGTACCCATTTTTGTTACATCCTTGGCGTGGTTTTCGGAATCAATCTCGACAGAATGCATTGGATAGTGCTTTAAAAAAAGGCGTCAGACATCGTTTTACTGGTCGAAGGGAATTTTTTTACAATGTCTTCTTCCTCTCTCTCGACTCCGGATCTTGGATTCCGCAAAACTCAAAACGGTGCACCGGTTTTCGTATGCACCGTTTTACGTAGTTCCGATGTGAGTAACTCTAATATATATAGAGCAAGGAAATCTAAACATTGATCATTATTCCCATCTTAAACAAATATCAACGGGTTGATATTGTTGTTAAATGAAAAAATCCACTACCACATTCATCTCGTCATTTCAAGCAGGTAAGTAATGCTTCTATGCAGTCAATACAATCTAATATATTCTCAAAGTTACGACGATGTTCATGCACCAGGCACAATTACCATTAGCGTAAAGAATGACGGGACATTGGTCGTCGATCACAACTTGGGCTTCCCAGCATATAAACTCTCCAAACCCGATCGAGTCAATGGAGAATTAGTTGCGAGAGAAGAGAAGCTCAAACAGACAAAGTTGAGACTCAAAAAAGCACACACCCAATTTCAAGAGTCAATAAACCGACTCCACAACGAATTAGATCTGCTAAAGAATAATGATTCTGTAGGCTTATTAACACATAAAAGCCTTTTGAGTTTGAATGAAAGCCACAAAGAAGATAAATCCACAAATCCATTTAAACATAAAATGGGAAAAGAAATCAGTAAAACTGCAAGACACAGCAAATCTTTAGATTCATTGGGATACATAGAAATGTAAACTATAAGGAGGATAAAGAAGATGAAGATTGTAATGAATCCACTGGATTGTTGGCATATAAAAGGACTACTAGTATGAGTTTGGACAATGCACAAGAACATGTACATTGATTCATATAGGAATTCTACAGTAGAATTATAGTTCAAGGAAGTAGTGGGGACCAATGGTTGAATACGTATCCTGTAACATCAGGATGAATTGAGTCTTACTAGTTAGATTGATCGATTTATTTGAAAGGTGGAGTTTTACGGTTTAGTTTAATGAAATCGAGTTTTTTTCAACCTCATGTCTACCTTGGCTCATTGAACCCTCGAGTCCAATGACACTCATCTGGAGATAAATTATACGAAAATATTCATAAAACTTGGCACCACCAAGGCAGAACCAGTAGTAGCACATAATAAATGACAAAAGCTGTAACAAAACCTTGATGAACTTGTACTCTGGCAAAAAAGTAGAAACACATTCCAAGAGAACTGAAGGAAGATGAGATGATACTGAGGATAAAGAATGATGGTTGCTCTTCCTCATCGGACCTTGGGTGCCATCAATTAACTTTTGTGTAGAACAAGAAGCAACAGCCACCATTCTACCATAACTGAAAAGGAATAAACCTTCATGACTAAATAGCTTTCCGTCCTTCCCCTTTTTGAATCTACCCCTTCATCCATTAATCTCATCATCCTCATCATCCGATGAAGGCCAAAAAGCACCTTGGACATATGTTAATACATCCTGATTGTCTCTTGGAAGAGTTAAATGCTTAACAAGATGTTTGGATACATTTCGACCAAGATCCACAACAATTGTTATAAAAGATAATAGCATAATTCCAGTATCAAGATGATTGATTAGAAAGATTTTTTCATTATAAAAAATAACATTTCCATTATTAAGATCGCTCAAAACGTAATATAAAGGCTCATTGGAAAAATCGACTAGTCTGGCTTTAAATAGAAGTTGTGAAAGAACTAGCTATTTTATATAAGTTTTTACACAACAATATCCACGTGAATACTTTTCATTTACCTTGTTGATATGTTTGGTAAGCTCCTCAACCGATGTATACATAACTGGCACCCGGTTTTCCTCAGTGCTCCAATTCTCAAAGATCAAGTGATTGGAGTAACCGTCATCTACTGGACCTGGGGCAATATATCAGGAACTGGTAGTGACAATAGCAGACCAATAACATTAGCATAATCATACAAATGTTCTTCAAATAGTGAGAGATCGTAGGAATATGGAGTTGAATACCAATAGAACAACTCTCCAGTAGCGTTGTACTTTAGACACATAAGGCTATCCAAGGTCTGACCAGGCACAAATTCCATAACAAATGCCTTAAATTCTGCTGTATATACAATACGGAAAAGCTTAGGTATTCGAACCTTAGACAATCGGGCTTGCTCATCTTTGTATATACCAGCAATTACTAGTAATTCTAGTTGTTCCTTGGTATCCTTCTGGTAAAACCTCTCAATTATATCGAAAATGTATTGCTGGTTTTGTGCTTCCATTTCTATACGTTCAAATCCACGTTTATTTGCAAATTTAATCCACAAGATAGGATTTTTATTGGGCAAACCAAAGTTCGCTTTCTGCCACTTTGTTCTCAAAAATGTATTGATAACTGTCAAAATATCGTCATCACAAAGCTCGCAAGATAATCTTTGGGCTTTTGCCAATCGATCAGCTCTATCGGCCATAGTAAAACATATTTCTCAAGGAAGAGAAGTTTTGGAAGAGAAACTTTGGGAAAGAAGCTTCGCAAGTGATATAAGAAAAGACTCCTATCGAAGAAATACAAATCGTAGTATTATACATCTTGTTGAGATGCAACAAGCCGAGGTGTAACTAAACTAAACTATGCGAGGCTACTATATACTACATTGCTTTTCGTATATCTTGAAAAATCTATGGACCGTTTAAACTTAAGCCTGATTAAGTCAAGCGCAGAATCTGCACTGACCACCTAATACATTTATCGAATATATTCATATACCTAGTACTTCATGTTGAGATACAGATAAGCAGAAATCATTGATTCAAACTTTAGAGCTTCATTTGCAATATTGGAGAAATTATGATGCTTTGAAAATAGGATGTTCTCATTTGTGTAAAGACTGTACAGTCCAAGTGTATAAGAATCACGCAACCCAATTATCAGTCGCTGCCTATCCCAACCCTCTCTGACTCAAGCCTCATAACCCATATCAACTTCTTGAGCAACGTCTCCAACTTGAATGGCCACGGAAAGCTGTCGACCTCCCTCGTTGTAGAACCGACCCTTTTTTATAGCACGTAAGACACCTTCCTGTCCAAAAGTCCATTCATATTGGAAAGCATTCCAGAAGTAAAAGTTCCCTTCAATATTCATAGAAAAGATTAATTGCTATTGATAGCATTAGATAAGAATCTGGAGCCTTGCTTATATATTAATACAAGATATTGATTACTGAACATAGAAGTTTACCAAAAATCTCCACCGTCATACAAAAAATGTCTATCGTGAGACAAACGGTATCTAAACATCTAATTTCCCTCACCAAACATATCTCTCACAATATTGAATAGATTTTGAACACAACCCCAGAACTGAAACCTCATTGTATATTGAATATTACCAGCTAAAGAAGTTGCTAGTTTGGAAAGGCGGACTGTACATTTGGCTTGACTATTGTTGCCTTGAGGATTAAGTTGAAAGAGCAAGCTGTCAATAGGTTGATCACTATTTATAGCAATCGGAGGTATATAGTTGTCAGGAAACATAAGCTGCAATCTTGGCTGTTGTTGTTGTATACAATTTGTGCTAATATAACTTCCAGCCCGAGCACTAAGAATCGTTAGGATTAGCGTGGGATACTCCATCTAAAGGATTAGGAAGTATATTTGTAATATACTTATAATTACAATAGGTGTCTTGGTATTCAAATCAGTTATAATACTAATGGAACAGAGAAAGAATAATAATTGAAAACAGAAAGATTATAGTAGTAATAATAAAATTATATAAAAAGTATTGATGGTAAAGTTGAAGAAAACAAAAGTGAAGAAGGAATAACTTATATATATAGACAAATTATCAAGAAATAATATGTTTTTGCAAGGCAAAAATGAATCAAAGTCTTTTTCGGTTTACTTCTGTCTTTGGTAAGGCCAAACAGGAATAATATCGCCGACTATTTGAAGGTTTCCTGTTCATGTAGTGATTCGGACCGTAAATTATATTGAAGTTTTGTGCATAAATACATATTCGCAATATATTAAGGGCCTAAAGGCTTTTAGAATTTACCCCCATCCTTGGCCAGGCCAAGTATAAACAATATCGCCGATCATTTGAAGGTTTTCTGGATATATAGAGACTCGGACTGTTTGTGCATACCTATCAGCTTCTCTCTTCTTATTGTATACCTTGGAAGCCCCCAAAATTATCCCGGAGCTTAAGTGATATATTAAGATAACAGAAATTAGAAAAAGTTTCACTTTCTTCACCCTAAAGCCGAATCAGAGAAGAGGGTGGCTCAATAAGGGACTATGAATCTAGCAATCACCAATCCCATCCCCAACAATGTGGGATATGCACTATATAGTACAGAAATGATCGAGATTGGCTCTAGTGGGCTATCCAAACTTTTAATAATACCGTATTGGGGCTATTTGGTTACCATATCGGGATCCTGAAGATTATAACATATTATTGTCCTAGAGACAAAGCTTGCAGGATCAACCAGTCCCTGGATTATATAATATTATAACTTTTATGGGCTTCATACCTATCAGTCGGGAAGTGATCTATTCAAATATAGTTTCTAAAAGGGGAAATATAATAGTATACTCTAAATATGTTATTTACTAAACGAGAAAAAAGTTTCTAAACAAAGGAGCTAAGTTAAAGAAGGATAAGAACACTTTAAATACTAACAATTTTCCTACCTTTTGAGATTCTATCAATGTTTTTTTCTCTTATTTTTTTAGAAGAAAAATTGGAAGCTAGTCAAAAGACAGAAAGGCCTACAACACGCCTGACCTTTTCGACTCTGGACTGTATTATGTGTTTATACAGCCACAACCATTCCTTTCTAACCAAAAATGAAAGTTCGTATAAACCTCTAATTACAGCAGGGAATAAAACCGTGGATTAAAGGAGACTTGCTTACAATTTTCCATTTTAACATTTTCGCCAATTTGTACAATGATACCAGCAATGAATCAATAACATTAATTGGTCTAGATTCTTAGAGTATAACAAAAATTTGAATAAGTTAGGATCTTGAACGCCGTAGGGTCATTATAGTTATATTACTACTTTGCATCGAATATTTCACCTAGACTGCCAGCTACTGATGCTACTTCACGAGATCCCTCATTCATCATTGTATATCAAATTAGTGAATGAAGATAAGCGTGCTTGATTTTCTATGTTAGATGTTCATACCGAGGCTCGAGAACTCCGGAGTTCA